TTATTTATTATCAAATTTATACACCACCCATCTCCCCTAGAGGGTGACTCTGAGGTGGGTTACAATTAAAATCCAAGACGATAAAAACAATAAAAATATAAATATCCCCAATTAAAATCACAAGTAACAATTCTATAAAAGCCAGTATACAAATCAAGATGATGGGGGAGCAGTATCAATCATCCCACCAGGCAGTTCCAGCAATGCAAGCCCCATCAGGCCCGCAGGCCATGTGGTATAGCCATGTTTTTATACCTTTTCGGAAAGCCAGGAGAATGGGGGCAGCCTGCACCTCAGGTGGCAAGGTGTTCCACAGGGCGGGGGCCATGGCAGAAAAGGCCCTCTTCCTAGACCTTGCCAGCTGGAATTCCTTGGCTGGTGGGGTCTGCAATATGCCCCCTCTGCCAGACTGAGAGGGGCGGGCGGATATAACAGAGCCGAGACAGCTCCTCAGGTAACCTGGTCCTGTGCCATGAAGAGCTTTAAAGGTGATAACACCTTGAATTGGACCCGGAAGCAAACCGGCAACCAATGCAGCTTGCGTAACAGAGGTGTTATATGTGCCACCCTAGGGGTGTTCAAAACTCATTTTGCACCAGCTGTAGCTTCCGAATACTCTTCAAGGGTAGCCCCATGTAGAGCGCATTGCAGTAATCCAAATGGGAGGTGACCAGTGCATGAGTGACCGCGTGGAAGGCCTCCTGATCCAGGAAGGGGCGTAACTGATGCACAGCATGAAGTTGCACCAAGGCCCTCCTAGCCACGACTGCCACCTGCTCTTCAAACAGGAGTCGTGAGTCTAGGAGGACCCCCAGATTACACAGGGTTGGTATCAGTAAGCTTTTTCTCATTTCAGATTGGCAGGTACTGTGTGTTGTTCCTGCCTCAATGTTCTATTGTTTTCTTCATCATCAGAGTGCAAAGCTCTTTATGAAGGAGAGACCCCCAAGTTCAACAGACCAAGCTACAATTTAAAATTCAGTGCAGGGGAAACAGTAAATGAAGAGGCAAAAATACTGGTAGAAATAAATCTGTATTCATTTCAGTTACACTTAATTAGTTACTCTAGACTGGAGTAGGCAATCTGTTTCCCTCCAGCACTGTTGAACTATAGGAGGCAAGACTCAAAATTGCATGGATCCTGTACCTTTTCATTTGGAAATGCTTAGACCTAATCTTAGTGGGGAGAAGAGACTGGGTTATTTGAATGGTGACGTTTTTCTACACATGGTCAAAGAATGTTACGTGCTGTTGTTTTCCAGTTTGCAGAATCTAAAGATAAGAATTTGCCTATCAGGCAGTGGTTTGAACTCTGGCATATTCTCTCGTCTCCAACTGTGACATTATGTTTCTATTTTGATCAGTCCTGCGTGTATCTCCCAGACTTTGCTTCAATGGCATAATGCAATAATTGAAACAACTACTTGGCTAATGTTATTTGATGGTGTTCATTTATTGTATTTTGAAATTTTCCTGTCCTTGAAAATATGGATGACTATCAGTATGAATCATTCATACCCCACTCAAAAGCCCTTTGAGAAACCAACTACCATGTCCCTCATTTTAAGAGCTTCCAGCTTAACCAAGTTATTACCGACAGTGGCCTCATTCAGATATAATTCTGAACTGCAGATTAATACAGTGGGAATTAGCCTAGATAAGGCTGAATAACTTGTCTGTCTTTTCTGCTATCTTCCAATGTGAGGAAATTGTAAGCCTTTGTCTCTAGTTTTCAATAAACTTGGTTTTGTACCCAAACTGGAATAAAGTGTTTCCACTGTACTTTATGATTCTGGCTTGTTCAAATAAACTGGCTGGGTTCATATATTAGGCTAAACTATAAAAAATGGGTTACGTCTTGCTGAAGCTTAACCCAACAACCTATATTATCACTTGATGCATGTGTGAATCCAATAAATGAGTTGCAACTAATTATAGGCTTGTCAGAAGATGAGAGAGCAGGTTCATTTGGTAGTAACAATTCAATATTATATCTGAACAAATTTTCTATGTAATGTATCCAGTGATCAGTAATTTCTTCTGATATGAACATTTGTGTCGTGTTTTATAAGCTGTAGATGCCATCAGCCAGTGTTCAGATCAGTATTTGCAGCTTTTTATCTTAGCCATTATCCCAAACTTCCTTATTCCACCTATTTAGTTGAATGCATAGTCTGTAGTCCTCATTCATGGTGATACCTCTTCAACTTTGAATTATGCACAGCAGCTTCTTTCATGGACCTGGAAGTTTTCAACAGGATTCTCTCCCCACTTTTTCTATTTTCAGAAATAGTAGTTGTTGGGGATAACAACCAGAGGTGGAAAGAGGACTCTTTCTCTGCATCCTAAAATCAAGTCCCCCTTGGGTTGAGCTCAACTTCTGATGACTTCGTAATACGTCCATGGAGTTTTCTTGGCAAAATATAGAAGTGGTTTGCCATTGCCTTCTTTGGATTTTTTTTTTCAACTTCCTAGTCCAGTCTGAAGCTCTGGAATTTGCTGGTAGTCTCCCTTAGATGTAAGAACTATCCAGGCCAGACCTTACTTATCTTTAGATAATTTGGCCAGGTGCTTCTACTTGCTGATATTACTCTACACCATATCCCCTACAAAAAAAAAACAACAACACTTCTTCCTGATTCTTCTATTTTCTTCTGAAGGTATCAGTGTGGACAATGGGACCTAGGATGACAAGTAGTCTTCAGGGGCGATGTTTGTGTTTTCATTTCTAATTCCATCATCCCTTTTGCAGCTACTTGTAAAATAAATAAAAGTCTGGGAGAGAATATTGTTACTTCATTATCTAATTCAAGTTTCTGACTTTTAAAGTAATAATTTTAGAATGCGTTTGGTGTCTGCATTTATCAAACCCAAATTTATTTTTGTGTGGTCACAATAATACAGTTAAATGGTGACAACAGATTTTATCAAGATTAGGAAACAATAGCTTAGAGAATGGAAAGAGGAAGGCCGTGGGCTTTGGCATAAATGTGTTACATAAACATAAATACAGAAATGAAAAATTTACATAGTGGACAACATACAGAGTTCAAGCTTGACTTTTTATCCACCAAGGCAGCTAATCACAGAAATAATAATAAGAAAGAAGCATAAATCCTTTTTAAAAAGTTGTAACAGCTGATAGGGCATAAAGTACTAGGTAAGAACAACACAAGAGAGAAACCATCAGCCAATAAGATCGAGAGAAGACTGAACTACTACAAAATGCAAATATGCTCTGAAAGGGCAATATAAAAGCAAACAGGGACCTCCTCTTGAAGGTCATTTTGGAGAATTAGTACTACTACTAAGTTTTTTTTTTTTTGGACTATCTTCCATTGTATTTCAGATGCTAGAGAAGCAGGAGGCAAGACCTCAGATGATTAATTGAGTAATGGAAGATTTATACATGGCAATAGGATTTCCATGATTGCTTTCTTAGACTTCCAGATGGCTAAAGTCCCTTAGAAAGAAGTTCTGTAATAACTTTGCCTGTCACTCAGAAGTTTTATCAAGCAGCAATTACTGGAAGAGAGAAATTGCTGATGGGTGGAGACAATTTTCATTCACTATTTCCAGCTTTAATATTGAAATCTGTGTCTGAAAAATGGCATACAGTGACCTGTAAATGTATGTCTGGATTTTGCATGTGATGTCCACGCACAATGTAAGCTCAAGTACACACACAATTGCCTTTGGTGGTGTTGACTCCCTCTCTGTCTCTTTTTGCAGCAGCAGCAGGAGATGTTGGCAGCAAAGCGTCAACAAGAACTAGAGCAACAGCGTAAACGAGAACAACAGCGGCAAGAAGAGCTGGAGAAGCAGCGTCTGGAGCAGCAGTTACTCATCTTACGCAACAAGGAGAAGAGCAAAGAAAGTAATATGTTTTAATTGCGTTGCACTGCATTTATTGGAACAGTACCCTGTTTATATTCCAAGGATTTGAAGAAGAAACTAGAGAGAGCTAGATTACGTTCTCCTATTCCAAAAATACCATACAGAGAAGCACATTTTAGAACAATTCACATGTACATAAACCCACTCAAATAATTAAAATTGCTCTCACAAGTATATTAACAATATAAAGATGTAAATAACTTGTTGAACTTGACTTTTAAGCCAAGGTTAGGCTTCTTTGCCATGGCCTTCCCTTCAAATTTTAGAGTTTTTAAAAATGTATTTAGATGGAGAATCTTTGCAAATTAATTTTCAGATTGTTCACAAATCTGCAATTTTGGGGAGTTATTTTTAGAACAAAAGTGAGCAATCTTTTCCCTTTGAAGGTTAACTGAGGCAATGTATGGTGAGTTGAGAAGAGATACCCATGGCTGCACACGTAGTCAACCTTGTACATAGGCAGGCATAGTATATAGATGCACTTCTGTACACTCATAAACATGCACAACTTCTCTTCCACTTTGGATGGAGAGATTTACCACTTATGCTTTCTGCATTTCTCCAGCATGACTGGGCTCTTGACAGCTTACCAACAGTTATCTGTATCAAGAGCAACATGGGGATGGGCTGACTTGAGTGATCTCAATGGAAGACTTCAAGGGACATATCTCTTATTTGGGATTGTATAACATGCTTAAAGAGGATAAAATCTGGGGCATTTTTAGATGGGATACTGTGTCTGGTTTGGCTCTGCAATTGATGTTGTAACCTCCACTGCATAATAAATGAATAAAGAATGATTTTAAAAAGTACAATAAAATGAGGCATTATGATGGAATTTTTCAGGAATATGTGAAGGATGACATGATAAAAATTGTTGCCATCGTGCTTAGGGAGAAGGGTTAAGGCGCCCCCCCCCCCATTTTATAAGCTTGATTGATGTGGAAGGGATTTTAAAAACTGGTTGTTCGCCTGGAATGTGAGATGAGAAGGGTAGTGTCCCTGAACACGTTACTCTCGGATACTTGTGAGAATTGAAGGTCACACATCTGCATGGCACCAGGTTAGGGAAGGGAGATACATCTCAACTTGTCTTTAATGTTTTCTACCAGTATTTTTCTATAATTTTCCAAAGGTGCCATTGCAAGCACTGAAGTGAAGCTGAAACTTCAAGAGTTCCTTCTCAGCAAGTCAAAAGAGCCAACTACAGTGGGTGGCTTGAATCATTCCCTCCCTCAGCATCCCAAATGCTGGTAAGTCTTTCCTTTGTCTCTGGGATTTTCATCTAAGTCTGATTTAGGACAGACTGTGAGTAGAGTTGGATTTCAGCACTGGAACAAATATTGCAATCACAAAAAAACATGCAAGATCTGTACAGCCCCTGTGCAATTGATATTTGCTTCTGCATATCCGGCAATAGGAAAGCAAGGAATATGTCTTCACTTTCAGGGACTCCATTTTCTCTAAATTTAACTGTGTTTCTTGGGTTCTTCTTCAGAAAATAATTGTTTACATAATTGTATTATGGTAAGAGGTAATTCATTCTTCATCTTGCTCAAAATAGCATTTTCACAGTTCCCTCACCAGCACGCCAGCTTGTGTGTTTTTTCTGTGTGTGCGTGTGTGTCAGTGCATGCAAAAGCAAATTCTATTTTTGGATAATGAATTGTGGGGGAACTGGAAGCGTGAGACACTTTCTCCTTCCTTTTCTGTTCACAACAAGAGTACATCTTTGTCCTAAATTGTATAGCATCTGCACAAATCCATTTCTCAAGGAAACCAGCAGTTTTAATGGAAATATGATCACTAAGTCCTTTCCAGTCTTACCCAGTTATGCCTTTACTTATTTCCATGCTTCTACTCTCAAATAGCTATCAAAGTTTTTCCTCTGGATTGCTATTTTACAGAAAAGGCCACAGATAGCAGACTGAGTTTGGTGTAGAGGTTTAAGCTCTAAGGGCAGATGGGTACTGTATGTTGCTTGATGAAATGGTATTAATATTGAGCAAATAACCAGTTAAATTTTGAGCTGAAGATCTGTATTACTATACTATATATACTAATCAGTGATCATCCACCATCCTAAATGGAGAGGATGCAGATTATTGTGATCATCCCCCAATCTTCCTTTTTCCTTTATTCCTTACCAGTTTAAGAATCATGGTACCATTTTCATCTCATACTGGTAGCTTAATGAGCATTCTGGTACAGGAAGTCCTTGACTTATGGCCATTTCTTCAGCAACTGTTCGAAGTTATGAACATGCTGGAAATAGGGACTAACAGTTTCTGAAGTTACGGCCATTGCAGCGCCCCCGCGGTCATGTGATCAAAATTTGGATGCTTGGCAGCCCACCCAGACTTATGACACAGGGGCACTTCAGCTCCCACTCATCTCTGCCCTTTTGGCTGCCCTGCACAGCAGCATTTTTTGATGGTAGCAGTAGGAGCAACACTGGGGCTGAATTAGAATATTTCAGCAGTCTCAGTCAGCCCCCACTGCCCTGTAAAAAGCAGCCCCTGAGTTGCAGCACAGCATGAAACCCAGCCCAGCCAGGCTGGACACACCTCATCAGTAGTGGAAGCAAGAAGATGGAAATGTCAGCTGGGGCGGCAGAGCACAGGGTGGCAAGGGTCTTGGAGTGCTGTCTGGTGAGGGTGATTGCAGCTGGGACTGGGCTGGGGCGGCTGCGGTTTCCCCGGGGGCATGGCCACATGGTTCTGGGACTGCTTGCCA